ACTTTATAATACAGCAGAGATGTCAAAGTTGCCGCCTACTGAATTCATCTTCAGTCCATAATGAATATGAGGCGACGCTGTATGAAGACTTCTTCTGGAAATAAGGGATACTGTAGACGTTCAGCGATTAAATTACTTCATCTACGACCCTGGCAACGGATTCATAATTCTGTGGTGTACCTTCTAAACTAAACAGATCTTCTGATCCAGTGATTAAAGGCACAAAGACAGAACGAATAAGTAAATTTACGCTGACGGTCCGAATATTGTGACATTTGTGGAAACGACTCCATAAATAAATATATGCGCTTGTTGCTTTTTGCCTTTGTAACTGTTGGATCGGAAAACCTTCACCGTACTCGTCCTAGGCGCTGAAATTCAACACCTTTACCACATGTTTCTGAAGAATGAGTATTCAAGGAATATGATGAAGCCCTGAGAGAACAGACACCTTGCCATGCATGCCCCATGTATCTCAGCCAGTCGGAAGATATCATGAACGTTACGAAGCTGTTATTCAATAAGCGTAAGCATTCTCTAACGGACAAGGCTTTGAATGTGCTTTACGGCATCGAGAGTGGAGATGGCAGTAAGATATACCTTGATAAAGCCTACCAAAAATTGAATATCGAAATTGTTCAACTATGAATCAGCAAACCATCTGCAACGTCAGCAATGGGTTCAGAATCGTTAATGTTATGTCACATTTAGAAAACCTTCTGCTTTGAATTACACTGACCTCAAACACTGCCACTGAAATGACGATGAATTAATAACGAGGCGACTTCATAAATCACTACTGTCACATTTATGTGAAATATCGCCGCAGAAAGCAGAACTTAAACTACAGCAGCATTATCAACACCCCTGTCAGCGACGTTACTGTCTTATTTGTGGCTACTGTTGTTTACAGACAAACTTAAGACGAGTCACTGGATCAACAGCTCCAAGATATGTTTTCTTCTGCAATGACGTCGAAAGTAAAGTTCTACAATTCCGATATAGTATTTCTGACGACAAATTCATATACTGCATTAAATTTTTCCGAAGTTTTCTCAAAACGATTATGCACTCAATGACTTTCATTGTTTAAGTACAACAATCGAGTTCAAGGCCGGCTTTTGACTCACAAACAATAGCATTAAAAAAAAACTACATTACCGATGGTAGAAATGAAGGTTGTGTTGAATGCGTCATCGGAAAATCGATACAAGATGCAAGTCTTTCCAACGCCGGAATCGCCGATTAGCAGAAGTTTAAAAAGCAGATCGTACTGTTTTCTGGCCATGAAATTATATATAAAGTTCCGGACTTCAACTCACGCCCTCTTCTATGGATTACGGCGACTCTCTCCGTACAACGCAGATACTAAAAACATTGTACGGTTAAGTAAATTACCTATGATTTAAACAGATTACGGTCAAAATTCGATTTTTTTCGACAATTCATACAATCCGACGTTCCGTTAAGGCACATTAGTTTAATTAAACTAATCCTGGCAATGCAAAATGAAAATGATCGACAACGAGTACTTCAGAAGTACTGATTTCATATTCCGTAATAGAAAGAAAAAACAATCGTCAGATTTAAAGAAGTACCTCATCAAAAACAGATGCTCAACGATGAACCTTGCTCCAGTTTGTTTAAGCAAAGAAAACTAGACAACAGGCGGCTACTGTTGATCATTATCTCCTCTAATCCCAAAGCCTAGGTGACATCACCTAACCTTAAGCAATATAAACTTTTGCCATCGGCATGGAAAACTCCATGAAAATCCCAAAAGGTCATTCTTGTAACACAGAATAGAATATAGATCTTTAAGAATACCGTTCTTTAAGAAATGCGCTGTTTACGAAGAGTAATTCGTTCGCATAATATATCAAGGTTAGAAAAGGAAAGGCCAATATCAATCGTTCTACCACTGACAAAATATCGCATGACATGGTGGACAAAATCCGAAAAATCCTGCGGATATCAGTCTCATTTGAATTTCTGAGAACATATCATAAATATGAATAGATACACATCAAAGCGGTCACAGACCACCAAGTCTATAGTCCACTCAAAGACAAAAGTTTGACAAATACAAATATCATGGAAAACTCCGAGTAAGAAGCCGATTAAGTATATATTTGCACATTCAATGCACGAGGTTACATCTTTAAAACCATAAGAGAAACACAAACAATCTACCTCAAATCAATTGTGCTGATCAGACAAACTGAGTGCACAGAAGTACGAATTATGCAGTAATGATCAGCAGGTTCAATGGCAGACAGCTAATCTACATACTATCGAAACTATTATTATTTATTATTATTGAATCATTAAACTATTATTTGTGTTATACCATCTGTGTTAAACTTTCAGTTGATCAAATTTCAAATCATTTTAGCTACATAATGTGTTTGTGCGCGCTATAGCAAAGTGATGGTGCTGCTGCTAGTCCATGGCCCTCGACGGGGTGTGCTGCGGCAGCTGTTAGAAGTGCTCTTGGTGGCCTAAGAATTGCCACTTTGCTAGACAATGTAGATGGAAGAGGCCCGTTTCATAAAATGTTGTTGATTACACTAGATGCAATAAGTACCCGTCGTAATATGTTAAAATTTGTAATATACACATGTCATGCTTCATTTATTCGTAATATGTCTCATTTTCTCGGTTGACCATCGTTGTTTCTTCATGTCATTGGAATCATTGTATAGCATGATGCGTCTATCCTCACTTTCCCACAAAGTGACGGCATTACGGCTCAACAGTAGCTTTTAGCAACGTGCACTACACGACATAGAGTAGACGGAGACGTATATATATATATATATATACATCAGTCACCAGTAACTATAGGTGAGGTACCACTCAGTGTTCGGATATGTACGCTTGTTGTAGCGCCGTTTCTTGATGGAGCGCTAATCTATTTGACCTTTAAGTTATAGTTTGTTAAATTATTGCTCAGGACGTTTACCGCTTTGGGCCGCAGCTGTGGCACTATCGACTAGCTGCGCCGGGGAGATCAGTTTACAGCCAAAACGCCCCTCATTGGACGTATTTAGCGGTCAACATGAAGCTTATTTATCATTACTGGCGCTGTGACGCCGCAATGCCTCCCCTGGGACGAGGAATATCGTGACTCGCAGCGGATGATTGACATTGATTGACCGGTTGTTTGGATCAGCCATTCGGAACTATAAGTTTATTTTACAAACCTTCCGAACTAACTAAATTCATTAAATATATGAGCACCCTTTAGAAAACGAATAACTAAGAAATCGTGCGATTTATTTTACTCAAAGTTTAAATTCCTAAAGAATCTGAACTTTAAGCTTCCTCACTTGTTCACGATGACGATTTTAATACCGACAAATAATCATTGCTGGAAACTCCAGCCGAAGCTGAAATCTGGTCTTATCAAAATAAGAATCTGTCGTGCGTAAATATTTGAAGTAAAAATTTTTCACCTTTCCGTACGAAATGAATTTGTTAACACAAAAGAAGCAATTCACGATCCTGCAGATAATCGTGATCCGCGGCAAAATTTTATGCCACGTTATAATAATAACAATAAATAGTTAGAAGTTAATATATAGTGGTGGTATGATACGAAATTACTAAATTAATGGCTAGACTTTCCATAAAATATACCTGAGAGCGAAGTGCGGTTCGGTAATGTTTCTATCGCCATTAGACAAGTACTTATCCGAACCTCGAACAGCTACAGCCGGTCTAGGATGCAGTGACACAGAGACAAGAGATTTTCCTCGAACGCCGAAGGTGCTGTGTTGAAGTCGCGAAAGGGAAACAAATTTTCTTGAGAAATGAATACATCTCACTTTGCATGGGTGCAACCATCAGAGAAACAGATAGAAAGTTGATGACTTCCGAACAATAAGGACCACATTGGGTTTTGGTATGGTGATGCACAGTCGCGTTGTCGGGTGCAAGAGCCTATTTGGATTGCAGTTCATTCGGAGTCGACTGATCCCTGGCTATCCAGTGTGATAATCAGCGCAAGGTGTGAAGCAATAAAAACTTATCGAGAAATTTTGATTGCCGCTGCATCAGGTCGTTATTGCGCCGAATCAGTCGTTTCCAGTGAGGTCTGCGCCCTGAAGCAAATACCAATCTCAGTATTCGATTAAGCAGTACGATTCCTGAAAGTTCAAAAAGACGTAGATACCCTAAAAGGTATATTCCTATATTGTATAAATGCTAGTGTCGCTTAATTGTTAAATAGTTGTGACGGTTTCGTTTGCAGTCTATGAAGTTGCTGTTATTTATTTGTGATTTAACTTTTGCGTTCATTGTTCATATTTGTACCGAGAAGACAATTTTTATGATGATTTGGCAAATGCACAAGCTTTCAGTTTTCTTTCAATTATAAATAATATTTTGTTTTTCGCCACGTCCTATTATATGAACCGCGTCTCTGGGAAGTGAGCACCAAAATTAAATATGTGAACTACGAAAGTGTCTATTACGTTTGTTTGTATTACGTCGTATGAAATGAACGTAATTAGATATCCATAATTATGGCGATGGTGTTCCATGTCCTCTGCGGCTGTTGCGAATGGTAGCATTGAGATATGGTCAATTGCCTACAGCAGAAATGTCTATAAATACTCAAGAATTGTATGAATGTATGATCAAATAAGATAATGTAGGATTCAAATGTTCTGAAGTAGCTACCACGAATGGCAGTGTTCGCTTAAAAATTGTTACTTACTTGTACTGCCAGTGCGGTAGTATGAGGAATCGAAGTCATTGCACTAAGTTATGACGCAACATGGCACCATCCCTTGCTCATAGTCACTTATGGGTCAATTTGGGCAGTCCAAACCACCATTGTATTAATATACTGATATATGGCATGACTGACCAAAGTTATCGCCTCATTGCCAGCGATAAAAATTGCGTTGGACAAATTACGGTTTATTTTGATTTTTTCATATTTATAATAAGCGGCTTGTATTACATAAATACCAGACGTTTACTTGTACAGTTAAGTAAATTACAGTATGATACAAAAGCAAGTAATTAAATTAAATCAGAGACTTTGGCTGCATGGCGAGTCACAGTGAATGCGACACACAATAAACGCACGGCGGGCCAGAAAATTCATGTCTTCCGTAACAGCTTTAAAATAGCATCTGCATGATCCTGAGAAACCAAAATGTCCCCCTCGATCAGAGGAAGGTGTTGAATCATCAAGCTTTGGAAATCATTTATTTCTTCTACCGCCTACAAGAATAATGTTATTATAATCACTATAGAAAAAATTTTCCTGGCATCAATAGCATGTCTTGTAATCGCTAGCCTCTATGTTACCAAAGTGCAGTTTTTCGACTATACATACAATTAAGATTCTTCAAATTACTTTAGAACGTGGATTTGATTACGATTTGCAGTTCTCATCAGTCGGGAGGATGAAATAAAGTTGTCATGCAAAAAGTACTACCATGTCGCTAAGTCAGGAGATATCAGCCATCGTATCGTGATTTTATAACGGTTACTGTTTCCTCCGCTGCCGATATCCGGATAAGCTAAATTTTATTCACCATTTGTTCGATTTATAGTAATTATGCTGTTTCAGAATATCTTAATATTATGCCGCCTTCAGCACCCGCAGAAGGTACAACAGAAAGAGATGGCTGCCCATGGCAGGAGGATTCATGAGAGCACAAATTAGGTACGGTAATTTCAGACCAAACTGACTATTGTGCAATTCTGATTCTTCAGCTTGCTTATGATGAGAATGCCTATAAACTTGGATGCAATTCTAACTGCCTGGCGGATGAACGGATCGCAGATGAAAAATAGATGATGGCCAATGTTGATGTTCAGATTGATTGGGCGTCAGATCGTTCCAGCAAATTTGTGCATGATGGTAGTAAGATTTTTTGTTGTTCGGAAAATCTTCAGCAATTGTTTTCGAAATTTAGGACAAGACAACGCTCGAATATGCAACTAATGTATTTCAGGTAAGCCTCATATCCGGCATGGTCCTGGCAGAAAAACCCTCCAGGAATCACTTTTGCCAAACGCTTTCGAAATGAATGGCGATGGCCGTTGCTTCCATGAAACAGAACGGATGCTTCGGCATTGATGCTAGCTAGTCTTGTTTAAACTTCAGGTCGACAGTTAAAATCGGACACATTTTATCATGACATCCACATCTTAATACCAGTGACATGTCATCCGCTTAAACTAACCTTCTAAAAGACACTGGTGGATATAGCTTGTAGAGATGTTTCAAAAATAACACCAAAACTGTGCCTGGAGACAGCCTGT